GAGAGAGAGAGAGAGAGAGAGAGAGAGAGAGAGAGAGAGAGAGAGAGAGAGAGAGAGAGAGAGAGAGAGAGAAAGGGGGTGCAGAGGCGGGCGGGCTGTAAGGTACTCTCAATGGGGCAGCTTACGTAACGGAACTTCGACGTGTAATCTCGTGTGTAACATAGGAGTCTAGTCGAGAAGCGCCAGCCAGTGCACGACTAGAGCAGTGGGTGACAGTATGCTTCTGCGATGGAGTTGCAATGTCCCGCCAACGTGACAACTGACGATGTAGAGAGAGAGAGAGAGAGAGAGAGAGAGAGAGAGAGAGAGAGAGAGAGAGAGAGAGAGAGAGAGAGAGAGAGAGAGAGATGGGGGGGGGATGGTGTACAGATTATCGGTCTCGCTGCACTACTCTTGAATCTTGAGAAATCAAGAGTTCGGGCCTCGCTGCACTACTCTAGACTCTCGAAATATTTCGAGAGTTCTACTAGAGTTGTCAGATAGGCGAGACTCTCGAAATATTCGACGTCGCTGCACTTACTGTAGAACCTGTTACACTGCTTTCTTTTGTTGATGGAGAGGCTCAGCCCAGGAAACACTATGGGTGGCAGCCATATGCGATACCCCCAAGCTCCCTAAGGCTAAGGCAGGCCGGGGGCCAGGTCCCACTAGCAGCGTAGAGTTTCCTCAACGTATGAATCTGGACGCTCCCTTGGAGATGTGCGGTTGAGAAACTCAACGTGATTTCTGCACATATCCACAAACACGTCCAGATTCAGGCGTTGAGGAAACTCAACGCTGCTAGCGGGACCTGGCCCCGGGCTTCGGTTTTGGGTATAAAACCTGCCTTAAGTGTGGGCGCCCCCCTCCCCACACCCCCTTCCCCCCCATGTCAAGTGTCCAAAAGACCGGCATGCTTTAGAGAAGAGAAAGGGATTCATTTCGCTGCCTGTGCATCGGGAGCGAGGCACCCCGTTGCTTTTCTGTCGAAGAAATATGCAAAATGAGACCGAATCCACTGCTAGAACATGGAAAGATACATTGTCATCTCTTTTCTCTTTTTTGTGTTCGCAGAA